TGATCCTTCTGCCTCTGCCTCTGGAGCTGCTGGGATTAGAAGCATGTGCCACCACACCCAGACTCTCAATCTGATTTCTTTGGGAAAAAAACCAAACTATGGGAACTTTCTATGCCTGTAAGAATTGATAGACAATAAATACTGTTCTCAACTGGTTTTGGAAGAACAGTGGTGAGATTTCCGGTGTTCTTCCTTAGATCCCTGTGTGAGTTCCTGGTGGACCTTACTTTGAAGTGGAGTCCTGTAGAAAGCCACTAGGCACTTGCAGCAATGGGCAAACTGGTCAGTAGGTGCCACATCATTTTTCAGGATATGGTTCCTCAATTCTGTAGTAGTTTAGTGTTAAGCAACTGAGCCTTCTTCTGAAGGAATTATCTAATTTACTGTGAGGGATAAGAGATAACCCATAACAATCCTTTATCTGACTATTATAAATACTCTGATTCTTCAACTTTTAATACACATTTCACTTCCCACGATTGACTTCGTTTTCTCTTTTTGCCAATTTTTGGAATTTCTACCCAATGGATTAATACCTGAGTACATTTTAATAGTTAAGCATTTTAATTTTAAAACTTTAGATTTATTTTTTAGTTCACAAATAAAGGTTATATATTTATCCTGTGTACTGATGTTTTGAAATATGTATCCATGGATTCACTCTACTCTAAAATAAAATTTTATTTCTCGGAGTGGATTGGTGGAGATTGTCTGGGGCTGATGTTGAGTCCAGAAAGAGGGAGAATATTGGGAATAGAAATGAGAGAGTATGGGCAAATAGCAGTTGTGGAAGAACCTTTCCCCTGGTATTGCTGTGCTTGGCTGGTGCAAACCTTATTTGCTTCTCAAATCACCCTTCATAATTCTATGCATTACATTACAAGAACAAATCATGTGCAGTATAGGTCCTTGAGTTACCATATCGAAGCAAATTTTTATTATTTGGGAGGAAATCATTACCTACTATGTATATACATGATACCAAAGATGTGCAGATTTATGCTATTTAGATTTGGCTATGCTTTGAATGCTTATGTCCCTCCAAAATTCATGTTGAAGTTTAATCCCCAATGCAACAGCTATTAAGAAATTGAGCTTTCAAAATCAATCAGAAGAGACAAAAAAGATCACTTCTTGCTGGGTAAGGGGATCATTTAAGAACAAGATATAATGATTTAAAATATTTATACTCCAAACATCAGTGTACCTATATACGTAAAACAAACCCTTCTCAATATAAAGAATCAAGTGGACCACAATATAACAACACTGAGTGATTTCAACACATGAACTCTTCAGAACTAAAAAAAATACTATTAATCAAATGGACCTAACAGGTGTATATAAAATATTTTATCCATTGGCAACTGAATTCATTGGTGGCACATGGAACTTTTTTCCAAAATAGATCATATTTTAGGGTACAAATTAAATCTTAGTAAAAGGAGTGATGCTGGGGATATCAAAATACCAATCCTCAAATTATACTATAGAGCTATAGTAACAAACAGCATGCATTGTTGCCAAAACAAACAAAGAACAATGGAATAGAATAGGAGACATAGATGTAAATCCACATAGATACAGTCATCTAACACTCAACAGAGATGCCAAAAGTATACACTGGAGAAAAGATAGTCTTTTAAGAAGATTGTCTTGGGAAAACTGGATGTACATATACAGAAGGACAAAACTAGATCTTTGTATCTTATCCTGCACAGAACTCAACTCAAAGTGGGTCAAAGACCTAGGAATTAGATGAGAAATTCTGCAACTATTAGAAGAAAACAAGGGCTCAACACTCCAACATATTGACATATACACTAACTTTCTTAACAAGACTCCTAAAGCACAAGAAATAAAACTAAGAATCAATAAGTGGGACAGGATTAAACTAAAAAGCTTTTGCACAGCAAAGGGAACAATTAAGACCATGGAGAGAGTTCCTACAGAATGGAAGATCTTTGCCACAGGTTCTTCAGACAGGTGATTAATATTCAAAACATATTAAGAATTAAGAAACTTAACACCTCCTCCCCAAAACAACAATCCAATTACTAAACAAGATAAAGAACTAAATATATACTTCTCAAAAGAAGAAATACAAATGGCCAACAAATATATTTAAAAAATGTTCAACCTCTCTAGGGAAATGCAAATCAAAACTTCATTGAGACTTCATCTCACTCCAGTCAGAACAGCAATTATCAAGAATATAAATAATATTAAATGCTGGTGAGGATGTGGGGGAAATGTTATACTCATACATTGTTGGTGGGACTGAAAATTAGTAAAACAACTCTGGAAAGCAGAATGGAGATTCTTCAAAAAGTTAGGAATGGAACTATAATATGACCCAGCCAGCCTACCTCTTGATATTTATCCAGAAGAACTAAAAGCAGCATACTACAGTGATACAACCACCTCAATATTTATAGCAGTGTAATTCACAGTAGTAAGTCATGGAACCAGCCAGATGTCTATCGACAGATGAATGGATAAAGAAAATGTGGTATACATATACAGTGGAATTTTACTTAGTCATAAAAAAAATAAAATTATGGTATTTGCTGGTAAATGGATGGAACTGGAGAACATCATGTTCAGTGAAATTAGCCAGACTAAGAAAGTCAAGGGTCAAATGTTTTCTCTCATATGTGGAAGCTCTACCAAAATAAGGTGGATAGAATCCCATAAAAATAGAAGAGGATATTTAAGGGAAAGAAGGAGGAATGGGAAAAGGAACAAATGATGGAATGAAATTGACCAAAGCTATTCTATGTATGTATATGTATATGTATATACTACAGGGAATTTTACCATTATGTATATACACAAATTACTAACTAAGCAAACAAACATATAAAAACAAAACAAATAAACTGTAAGTAAATAAAAGGAAGACCAGTAGAGGAAAGGAAATAAGAGAGGAAGGAAGGGATGGAAAGTACTGGGGACTGAATTGAAGAAAATTATAGTCCATGCTTGTATAATTATGCCAAAATGAACCTTAATATTTTTTCTTTTTGTTTTTTGTTTTGTTTGTTCATTATAATTGTACATACTGATGGGATTTGTTGTTATATGTTCATACATGCACACAATACATAACATACAATATAATTTGCCATAATAACTCTTCAGCACATTCCCCCTCCCTCCCCACCTCCTACCCCTTGGTGCCTTTCTTCTACTGATCTCTCTTTGATTTTCATGAGATCTTTCCCCATCTTTCTTTTCCTTTTCCTCCCTAGTTTCCCATATAAGAGAAAACATATGACTCTTGACCTTCTGAGTTGACTTTGGCTTAAGAACTTAACGTTCTTAAGTTCCATCTATTTTCCTGCTAATGACATAATTTCATTTTTGTTTATGGCTGAATAAACACCATTGTGTATATATACCATATTTTTTATCCATTCATCTGTTGATGGACACCTAGACTGGTTCCATAGTTTGGCCATTGTGAATTATGCTGCTATAAACATGGTTTGCAATGTATCACTGTAATATGATGATTAATTCTTCAGAATAAATCCCTAGAAGTGGTATAGCCAGTGAACCCCAATATTATGTATAACTCTAATGAGAGAGAGAGGGGAGAGAGAGAGAGAAAGAGAGAGAGAGAGAGAGAGAGAGAGAGAGAGAGAGAGAGAGAGAGAGACTTTTAGGAGGGGATTAGGCCATGAGGGCTACATCCTCATAGCTGAGATTAGTGCCCTTACATAAAAGACTTGAGACTCATGTTTACAGCAGCATAATTTACAATAGCCAAATTATGGGGCCAGCCTAGAAGTCTGTTAATAGATGAACGGATAAAGAAAATGCAGTGTAATATACACAATGGAGTTTTAATCAGCCAAAAAAATAAAAAATAAAAAGAATGAAACTATGTCATTTGGGGAAAACCAAATGAAATTTGTGACATGAAATTTATCAAAATAAGCCAAACTCAGAAAGCCAAGGGTTGAATGTTTTCTGTCATATGTAGGAAAAAAAGGGGGATGGGGAAAGATGGTGAAAGGATCTTATAAAAGTAGAAGGGAGACCAGTAGGATACAGTAAGGGGGCCAGACAGGGGGAGAGAAGAAGGCAAAAGGGAGGCATTAGGGAATGAAATTGACCTAATAATATTAACAATATTATTATATTGTATGAATGTACACATATGTAGCAACAACCCAATATCATATATAATTATAAAGCACCAAGGGAATAAGTTCCTCACTTTTGCCCTACCATTCTGCCACATAAGGATGGAGCAAAGTACCATCTTGGAAACAGAGATTAAACTCTTAATCCAGTACCTTGAGCTTGGACTTTCCATCCTCCATTACTATAAGAAATAGGTTTGTATTATCTATAAGTTACTCAGTCTAAGGCATTTTACTACAGCAGCCTGAATAGCACACCAAACAAATATGACAAATAGAAGCTCTTACTAATGTCTATTTCTGTTACATGGAAGTGGAAAAAGGAAAGAGGCTCTTTAAAAATTAGTCTCCATTTTTCTTTATTTTCTAAAAGACTAATTTTCAAAGGGATAATTTATATGTTAAACTTCTATTCTCACATATAAAGTTCTATTAACAACTATCACTAAACTACCCCTGCTCTTTGTTTCAAACCAATAAATGTTTGAAACGGAATAGACTAAGTTAGATTTCAATAGGAGGAAGGCTATGTAAAATCATATGGGATCATCTATCTATTCCAGACCTCTTGCTTGATGGATGATCTATGGTCAATGGTTATCAGTAGGCAGGTTGGATATCTAAAAACCAGTTAAGTTGCAGGTCTCTGAAAAATTGTGACGTTAATTTCTCACTTTCTGGAATGCATGTTTCTAGGGTACTTAAAGGCCCATTAAGCACAATTTCATCAATGTAGTTGATGTTGTGGTATTCTGTAAAATGCCAAGATGATTATGATCTCTGTGGACTAGATTATGCCAAACAATGCAAGAGTGATCTCTGAGACAAGACTGTGAAGGTACACTGCTATTCCTGCCTGGTGAAACAAACTACTTGGGGTGGAACTTGCAATTCAACAGAGATAAAATGGCATTTTCCCAGTCAATAGCTATATACTAGGATCTCATTATAAGATACCATAGCTGGAGCAACTGCTGAAGCTGAAATTGTCACCTGAATAACTCTACAAATACCCATGTTCCAAATGACTTATATATAGGTTAAAAAGGAGAGTTAAATTGGACCCACCCTTGTGGAAGTTGTAGAGGAATATTCTAGAATGTAATTTTGGCAATATTCAATTAGTTTTCTGAAAAGGGACCCAAAACTTTGAGCCTAAGAACTTGCTTAGAGATGAACTGGGTGAAAAGACATGCTTTACTGTTGTGGTGATCCAAGTCAGATTTCCTCTTAATTTAGTTCTTCTATTCACTCTATACATACATGTATATAACTTCTGGTATCTCATCTTGATTGAACAAAGTCATCTTTTAGTCCATATCTCAGATAATCAGCCAACATGTTGGGATCCTTCATAGTTCCTTCATTCTCTTGGAAGTTAAATCATAATAATATATTTGATTTGATTTAAGTTTATATTTAATCATATATATATGATTAAATATATATACATACACACATATGCATACACTAATCTGTATTGTTGAAACATTGTGATTATTTAGTCAGTATTGAAGATACCTTACCTGCAGGTCAAACACGATTGTTCATTATGTAAATCATACTTGTTTTGTCTTCAATGGTTAAATTCTACTATTTGGCTCCTACCTGTCCATTTCAATGGTGGCTTTCCCCCCTAGCATCCTTAGCTTACAAAGACAGCCACTCAATACAGGATTATTCTAAATTAATGTTCCACCCAACATCTATCTAGATGCCTTAGTGAAGGGAGCATACCCTGGATATTCTCAAGGAAAAAAAAAGGGGAGGATGGGTAGTTAGGTTCTCTCCAACATTCCTATCTTCCTAAGTTTTCTTTCTCTTTTTTGTCAAGGAGCTTCTGCAATTTCATCTTGATTGAACAAAGTCACCTTTGAGTCCGTATTTCAGATAATCAGCCAACCTGTTGGGATCCTTCACAGTTATTTCATTCTCTGGTAAGTTAAGCCATAATAATGTATTTGATTTGATCTAAGTTTATATTTAATCATTCTGGATCTAATATCCTTAGAGTTCATTCTCACATCTATTCTCCAACTTCATGCCAATGTACATTTTCAACTTCTTGCTGTTCTTCTGTATTATGAACTCTCTTACCCCAGATATGCCTTAGTGACAGCCTCCCTGGGCTATGTTGAGGTTTAACTCTGGATTCAGGTCTTGAGGTAGTGAGAGGTGGTAGGGAGAATAGGCATACTTTTCAAAGGTAGCCGCCTTATATGAGGTTATCACAAAAGTATTCAAGTAAGGGGAGATGGCTGCACTTAAAATGTGGTAGTCATCCTGCCAGCAAGTGAGGTCCAGGAATATAAGATTAAAAATACTCAACCTTATCTTTTTCCAAGTGTCATGCATCCATTCTTTCCAAACAACATGTGAATTTTCACACAGAAACTTGGTCTATTTGTAAATTTATCCTATAATAATCTTGTGATTTACATAATTATATTATAGGTTTGATTTTTAGTCATTTCTCCCTTATGACTCCAATAAATAAGAGGTTCTTTTATGGGCACAAAGACACTTTCTGGTCTCTGCGGCTTGATCTCAGAAGAAAGTTCATCCCTGGTTCTTATAGTTGTACTTATTTCTGTAACTGTCAAGTTCTTCAACCACTTTGTCACTCAAAGCCTTGCCTTCAATAGACAACCCATCTCCAGCAGCCACAGGTAATAATTTAAGTCATCTTGATTCTATTGCTTGCTACAGATTACCAGGATGCCATCTGCCATTGGCAAGGAGATTATAGCTATGTTCAAAGTTAAAGAGGTGAGTAACCCAATTACAGAATCTTGTCTTTTGAGGGTCAGTGTCTTAGCACTATTCATGGTACTAAGTACGATATTAATCCAGGTCCAACAAAAAACCATGATGGATATTTCAAAGGAGGACATTTATAGAAAGAATTGGTTACTTGGTATTTTATTTATTTGTTGTCGTATACCTCAATGAAAACAACAAACATATATTATCTTGCAGTTTCTGAGGTTCATGAATCAGGAGGACTCTAGAATCTCTCATGACATTGCAATCAAGTTTTTGGAATTGGAGTCATCTAAAGACTTGACTCAGATGTGGAGGATGTTTCAAGATGACCCACTCACATGGCTATTGACAGGAGGCCTTGGTTTCTTGGTAGCATTTGGCAAAAACCCTCAGTTCCTTTACACTCAGGCCTCTCCACAGAGCTGTTGGAGTGTCTTCATGACCTAACAGTTGTCTTCCCCCAGAGAGTGATCTAAGAGAGAAAGCATGAAGAAGCCATGATACTTATTATGCCCTAGTTACATACCATCATTTACATCATAGACTGGTCATCAGAAGCAAGATCCTAAGTTCCCTCTACACTCCAGGAGAGATGAGTTGGAGTCCATTTTTTTTTTTTAGAGAGAAGAGTATCAATGAATTTCTTATGTATTTTAAAACTATAACAGAGTAGCATCAGAAGTTTGAAAGGGCAGAAAGTAATGCTGATGTAAGTTCAAAATCAGTACCTGCAGATAGCTGAAGGAACAAATGGGGACTAATATACTTAGCATCTCAGAGGGCTGATCCGTGTAGTTAGTGCTGTGATTTCAGAGTGGCATATATTATGTGGCTGTTGGTGGATCACTAAGAAGGCTGCCACTTGGCTGATGTTCAGACCTCTGAGGGAAAGATGGTGTGAGACTAATGCTCTTTGGAGATGGCATGGTGTCACTCATACTCTGTCACTGAAGGAGCACAGACAGCTGGTGGTTGTGCCTCTGGAAGTGTAGCTTCACTGGTACTGTAACTATTTTATGCTGCTGGAGAAAAACTAACAGGAACTACAAGTAGAAAAAATTCATTCTTCCCTCCCCCATGCCTTCCAATTTCACACCAGTCCCCTTTCCTGACAGAAGATAGCAGGAATCCATCTGGCAAGAGAATATTGAAAATCTAGTGCAAAGGAGCAGGGTTTGAACGGGTTGGCTTGGTGCTAAGAGACAATAGGCAACCAACTGGTACAACCTGATTTTCTTTTATGTTTTGGAATTGGAGTCATCTTTTGCAGACACTTCTTTCTCAAATCACTCTTAATTCTTCACATTTAACTATGAAGAACATCTTACTTCTTCCCTGTAAGTAGCGGGTGCCTGTTATGAATTAGATACTCCAATATGTTAAAGTACATAAGACATGCAGATTTTTGATAAATAGATTTTAATGAAATGGAGACTTGAAAAGTTGAAATCACTTATTTCTTAGTTGAAATCTCTCTATTGCCCCAATGGCCAATTGGCTGTGTGGGAATGGAGAACATACATAGGTGGGATACCTAGATGTCTCTATTAGGTCACCCATTACGTTTTTTTTTTCTCTTTTTTTTGGCCTCTTTCCTAGGTTCTTGGCAAATCTGGTAAATATACTCCATTTTATAATTGTTCTTTAAATTTTCTCAAGCCAAAGCTTGACAACATGACTTTCTGGTTTGTGGCTTTGGAGAAGGTTGTAAATTGGGCACTCTTTTAGATCAATACTAAAAAAGTATTGTCACTATATGAATAATCAAGAAACTCATCCTTCTCTAGATATTCTTTGAGTAAAGAGCCCCAAGTAGAAAAATTCTTCCCACTACCTCTGCCAAAGAGCCATCAGATCCCATCTGCTTTGGTATCCTGGGAAAGTTTTGTTCCCAGTCTAAACTCCAAGAACTGTCTGCAGGAAATCTAAGGGACTCTGAGATTTGGTATCCAGGTGTCTGCAGCCCATGTGGGTAGAGCAACTTAAATACATTTTTGCCACTTTAGCTCACATGCATTCTCTCTTCACATTGTCATCAGACATATCTTTAAAGAATGTTTAATGCTAAAATACATTTAGTAGACACAATCAAGAATTTAATGGAAAATGAATATTAGAAACTATTGGTCAGGTAACATTTTTTATTTTCTTCTGATTTATTACCTTTCATCTGGTCTGTCCTCTCATTTCCCAGCCAGATTATGAGGAAGGCGGAACTTGACTTTACCTCTGCCTTACTTTAGCTTCAAGAGACTCTCTTTCTTCTGCTCAGGTGCTATTTTTTTTGTCCCACACTGAGAGTGCCTTTGGGATTGGATAACCTGATGGAATGCACACCTTCTCAGAGCATCTATTTCCTTTTTTTTTTTTTTTTTTTGCCAGTTAGCTCTTATCCTTGAAATCTATCAGGGACATCACATTTATACATCTATAATGCCACAAACTGAGCTCCTAATCATCATCATTGCTCTAACGTGCTCTCTCTTCAGTCTCTCCATTTCACTTGATGAAAATACCATCTTTCTTGCTTAAAGTCATTTTTATCTTTTTTTCTTTCTTGTTCTTTATCATTAATATGTTAGCAAACCTATTGGTTCTACTATTGATATATATCAATAATCTGTCCACATCTCACAGATCCCACTAGGACCACTGTGTGCATACCATTAGCATCTCTTGCCTTAATTAATGCAATAACCTTCTTCCTTTTTTTTATCTGCTTTTGTCTTTCCTGCACTTCATTCTGTTCTCCACATAGCAACAGAAGAAGCCTCTAAAGTTTAGAAGAGCATGTCACTCTTTTGCTCCAATCCTTTCATTTGCTTCTCATCTCTCTAGCAGTAAAATCCTGTCTTCACAAAGGCCACAAGGGCTGTGTGATGACCTGGCCCCGTGCTGATCCGCTGAACTTTATCTCTTACTTCTTTCACCTTTGCTCACTCTGCACTAAAAACTCTGTCCTCAGTGCTCTTTTTCATTTTTAAAGAAATCAGACAAATTCTTGACCTTTATACCTTTTTTTTCTTTCTGAATATGATACCTTTCTTGCTCAGAAGGTTGCCCAGCGTGCTGTTCCCTTCCCTCAAGCCTTCTCTTCAGTGGTAACTCCTCAGTGAGGACTTCCGTGATCACTGATATTAAAACTCCTACCTGCTCATCTTCCTGTATAGCATTTTCTATCCTTCCTCCTCATTATATTTGTATTAATTACTAATTACCATTTGATACACTCAAGCAACCAAGTAAAAAATACATTTAACTTAGGTGTCGTTGGTTGTTGATACTTCCCTAATACCTTGTGAGCCATAAGAAGGCTTGGATTTTCATCTACTTAGTTCATTCTGTGTCTCAAGTTCCTGGAGGAATATTTGGAACTTAGTAGGTCTTCGGTAAATACTGGTTGAATGAATGAATGTATAAATATGCATATATAAAATATAAAAACGAATATCTTAAATGTAATACAGGAATTTGACTAGGTGATATTTATATAAATCTCTTTTAGTTCTAAATCTATACAGATGAGTCTTGAGGTGGGCTTCTTCAGGATGCAGTTGTAGGCTCTATGTTTAACATTTGGTAAAAAACTAGCACTGAATAATAAAGACTGATGTCAGTCACGAACAGCCACCCCAGCATTATTGATCACGTATATAGGCCATACCAACCTGCTTCTACCTAGAAGTATTTGCATTGCAAAACAATTCTTGTAATGATTCAGAAGCCAAAGGTTATCATTTTCTAATAGAAATCTCTTGATTCTAGTGTGCCAGTAGTAGGAAATACTTGACAGCTTATCTCACTTCTAGAAAGTATGTCTATTCTGTACTTTCCTAAGTATAACTTTGAGTTTTATGTAGATCTTAGATATCTAAACTTACTAGGAATAGATGCTGTATGTTGTTTTCTCCCTGGGTTAGTAGAATTTCGTCCTGCCTTTGTTTATCTGCTGTTTGGCAGTTGAGTGGAAAAATAACACAGTTTTTCATTTTGAGTGCTTAAGAGAATATTTAGAAGGTTGGCACTGAGAAGAAAGCCCCCAAGGAGTCTTCAGTAGCAAAAAACAATTAGCCAGCAAGGCTGTCTTGTATCTGTGTCAGCATTTGATAGTAATATGATACATACTGCCCCAGCCTGCTTGCACAGAGGTATATTAGGAAAAAAATACTCGGAGAAGTAGAACATAAACTATAATGACCAGACTTCCAGTTCACTGACAAAGAATGAGAAGAACATTTATTCATTCATTCAACAACTATCTATTGATTGCTTTCCCTATGCCAGATACTATAATAAGCATTGTGGTACATGAAACTCCTTTTCATGGAGCATAATTCAATAATTCACCCACAGAAGGTTGATTGAGTGCCTGATGTGTACCAGATACCAAGTTAGGTTCTGGGTACAAAAGATAAATACTCTTGGACCTTGTCACCGGGGAAGATTTCTTCCCAGGAAGAAAAAAACCTGTTCTAGATATTTGGGCAAAGTGCAGGGAGAGGGCGCAAGGAAACGGGTGGGCAGTTCTATCTTAGGAGTCTGGGAAGATCAATAAAGAAACCCCAGAGAAGGGGACCTCTGGAATGAGTCTTTGCAAATGGTAGTTATCTGTTAGGACAGGAGGTTGGGGATAGGGGACAAAAGAATCCAGCAAGAGTAGAAGCGGGGAGTTAAGAGACCATAAGGAAGAGTCAGAGAGTTGTAAGGATTTTAAGGTCAGGACAACTGCTAGGCCAGATAATTTAGAGTCTTCTATGACACTTTAAGAATTTTGCTCTTTCTTCTGTAAACTACAGAAAGCCTTTGAAGGATTTTAAGAAGGAGAGTTACACAATCTCTCCTGGTTTTTAAGGATCGCTGTCACTTGGGTAGCACTTGGAGAATGAATTAGAGGAAGTGAGATTAGAGTCTGAGAGACAGTCAGGTGGCTACTTGCACGTTTCGAAAAAGGTGAGGCAGACTGATCTCTGGCAATCAAAGGGGGAAGGCAAGGAGGGAGGAGGTCTGAGAAATAGTAAGGACCTGGAGTCCACAAGGGTTAGTTGGTGGGTCTGGGGGACAGAGGGGAGTAAAGTAAAGGGGGGAATAAAGAAGGAGTTTTGCTTTCTAGCTTGAGTCTCTTTTACAGAGACAAGGGAACATGGGCGAACAGATCTGCAGTCTTGGTTTGGTGTCAGTTGACTAGGTGGTCTGGCTAGAGCTCTTCAGGCTCCCTTCACCAGCACAGGTGGTGCATGGCTCACCTCATAGCCCTGGTGAGCTCCTTTAGAAGGTATTCACTGGTGAGAAGAGTTTGGGGACTGGCATCATATTAGAGTCAGCTGAGGAAGAATCTGTTCAAATATCTTCCCTAAAGGATTTCCCCAAACTCTAACCAGAAATTGGTTCGTCGCCTGAAATAGGTTTTCTTTCTTTTTCTTTTTCACTTAGTATGTTTGAATGGAGATCCTAAAATTGGTGGTTCAAAAGAGGAGAATGACGTAAAATGACATAAAGTGCTTCTAGCCAGTCAATCCCCTGGCTAGAAGCAGGGGGAGCCTGCTCTGGCTAAGGTGACCATCATCATGGGACTTGGGGCCCTGACAGGGGCTGGTGAGGTCCTGGTGGTCCTTGTCATGCCCCCTCCTCATTGGTAAAGACTTAGGATTGAAGCATTAGAACTTTATTCCTTGAACTTGAAACTTTAACCACTAAGTGGTAGGGCTTAATGCTTTCCTCATAATAAATATTTTAATGATAACAACACAATTTCCATGACTTCCCTCCAAGATAATTGCTTCCATATCTGTGACTCCAGAACACTTGATTAACACCTCTATCTAATCTAACACTGCTGATGGTATTCTTTCCACGACATTCTCTATCAGACTGTGTCTCTAAGGACAGAGACCTCATCTCATTTGTCACTGAACCCAGCATCAAATATAGTAGATGTTCATTTAACTTTTGAGTTAACTGAATTGCCACTTATGGGAATAGCAACGGATTGGCCTTTTAAGTTTCAAGCCATTTTATTTTGTTACTGTAACATGTGTTCTCTTTGAAAGGAAACCACTTGATCATCCCTATTTAACACAGGAGGAGTGTGTCCCAAGTGAGGTTATGCAGCTTGGAAGAGGAGGGACTAGAATCTGGCTCTTTTTATACGGTCCCTCCCCTTCTCCCTCTGCATGGTGGATCCTTCCCAAGAAAGGGCTCTAAAAGGGGTGCAGACTAAAAGCACAGAGCCTTTCTGAGAAGTGCAGAGTAAATGAGATTTTTGTCTCAGAACATGGAAGCTGGGAATAGAGGTGAAAAACTACATCTACGGCCAATTTTGTCTAGAGTAGCCTTGAAAGCTAACATTTTATAAAGACACCACTGAGCTCAGATTTCCACGGAGGGCAGGTCAGCAATAATCCTGGCATTATGTGCTCTCAGGCCTGTGACCACAACATAAATGCCAGTGAAAGAAATCTCACAGTCCTTGTGCACTCCACTTGAACATGCAGGTGTAGTTGTAAAGGGCCAGGGACAGAAGGGGTTTGAGTTACCAGGGTAGATGCTAAATATTCATCTTGGAAAAGCTCATTGGGGCTTAGAATCGTATTGACTACATTCCAGCTTTTATTTTCTTGGTTTGCAAAAAGCTTCTGCAATTGTAAACTCCAAGTTTTAAAAATTTCATGTTGCAGGGAAATAAATGTTATTCCTAGTGGAAGTTTCGTAAGCTTGTCATAATGAGTAAGTTAAGTGAGTTCTTAGAAAGTAAGTGGCGTGAGAGTTAAATGAGTCTAATGGGGTATGCCCTGTATCATTTTTGGGGGAAAGAGCTCCTTCACTTAGGCTCTGTGGGGGTAGGATATAAAGATGGGGTTCAAAAGAAAAGGAAGGAGAAAAGAATGTTGCAGGGTCAAGACTTCAGGTATCTGTGAAATACCTAAAACTTCAGCTCCTAAGCCCATCTCCAAGGGAACGCCAACTCTGTTGCATGAATGCATCTGGGTGAGTCCCTTCTTGGTTCTCAAATACACTGGTATATATTACACAGTACAGTGAAGTTTTAAAAATGACATCATCTGAAGAGTTGGGACCACTCTGCTTTCTGGTGCTTACATGTATGCAGTGCTGGGTCTCTGGCAGGGACTCTGATCTCTCTATTTGTATGTGTAACAGTTTATTGTGAATCCTTGCATTCACTTGTTCAGTTACATCTCTCAGGGAAGATGCTTTCTTGCAAGGTTTCTTTGGGAAAAAAAAAAAGAGTGCCAACATGAGCAGTCATTATCCCATAAAAGAAATCGCCAAACGGTGTCACCTCATTTCTTCTTCCCACTGCCCTTGCTTCATCTCCCTGACGACAGTTTCCAAGCACACACCTCCCCTCCCCTCGGTTGGTTCTTTCTTTCACTGTTGTCCCCTTCATTACTCACCAACAAGGAACAACAACAAAACCTGGGCATTTGGCCAAACGACCTTTCCACTTGTCTTATAATTTTTTGTCAGGTCCCATTCTATGACAGAATGGAAAATCCTTGAAGGCAGGTGCCATCCTTACCCAGAATTTATACTTAAAACCAGGCATCTTTTGGATGTTTATTAAACTTTCTCTATAAAGCGCTGCAAAACTTTGATGGGATGACTCCAGAACTACTTTATCCTCTCTTTCTATTTTATTATTATTTTTCTTTTTTAGTGGCTGGTGGAAATAGGAAAAGGGAGGGTAGTCATTTAGGTGGGGAAAGACATTTCTCTAAATGTCAATACTTATGAAACGCCATTTTAAACCTTTATAAATGATTATCTTCCTCGGTACTGATGAGGCCGTCTCACATTGCTGCTCAATTTATTTACTCAGGAGACCAATTTATTTCACTACCTCTGTACTAACTGTTTGCATTGACATCTAGGTCTGCTTTGAGCAAGCAACTGTGACAAGTTGTTTATTGAACTGTAAACAGGTATTGTCTGAATCTAAACAATGGCTTTATCTAATTAGGAGACCCTGGGCATCATCTTAGCCCCATGCGGCTATTCTAACCCAGTCTCCGCATCTCTTGCAGATTTCCCATGCCTTTTAAAATCTTCTTGCTCACAGTAAAACCCTTCATCACAAAGTGAAGAATAATCCTTATTTTGTCCTGTAACTGTACAGACTTGGTGTTTTGTGCAAAAAAGGGGACCGACTGTAATAAACTATGCAAGGGTGGCCCAATTTAGAATGGTTGAATAAGAAAAGGAAAACATGAATGAGATATAAAAAGACAAGGAGGATGAATAAAGATGAAGTAGGTCTGTTGCCTAGGCTGTAAAAAAACGCCTTGTATAAATTAGAAAAACATTTTCCTACCAAAAGAGGGAAGTCAACGAAATGATGGTGATGTGAGTTTTCAGACAAAAATACAGGTATGATTATGGAAAGCATAATAGGAGAGCTGAGGGGGGGAGAAGTTAATTTTCTGGACTTGGATTGAAATAGAACGTGTGTAGGGAAAGCACTTGGAAAGCCTGTTTTCCCGCCATTGCTTTGTGTCTGAAGATGCTAATTGAGCGCAGCAATCAATGTCTTTTGTTTTCAGCTGTCAGCACTTTTCTGAAAGGCTTGGTCCAATCCTGGGGGGAGGAACTCTTAACGAAGCTCCACTTTGTGCTAGCTATTATTATTACATGTTCCTCTTGGAAGGAAAGAATTAATTGCAATTTTGGAAAAAAAAAAAGTGTCACCACAGTGAAAGTTTTCAAACATGAGGCCAAACATAGATATCTTTCTCAAAAAAATTGGCCCAGGGATGCTCCACCAGCATATACATTGAAAAGAAAGCTACATACAAGTGAACAGGATGATGTATTATTTTTTTTTTTGTCACTCTATAGGCACTATGTTTATTTTATCATAAAGCTGTATTTTCACATTCTTTTTGTCTCTCCTCAGGCGTTACGAGTTGCTTTCTTGGTTGCTTCTTTAACGGTTTGTGTAATTGCTTTCACTCACGGAGGCCCAATTGGTGGGTTCATGGTGAGTAGCCTCATGAAATATGAATCTATTTAAAAATTAATAGTAAATCAATATTAATTCAATAAAATATTTTAATCTGAGGTATGAATATTTTATACCTTCACATAGACATGCAGATTTCAAAAGCCATTTTCATGTTTCTGACAGGCTGTCCGGGTTTTGCCACCGCGACATGGAAATTATTCCTCCTTGTGCCGTGGGGGCGGGCTCCAGGCTCTCTCAGCTAGAGCCGCCCAGGTCAATGGTTATGTTTATTCAAACTGCTGGAGGAATGCAAATGAGATGCATGCTGCACAGGAACCCGGGGAAGGTTTACCTTATTTAATGGAGTTTATAGTTTCTCCTGTCTCGGCTTGGAATATAGTTAAAGGGAGTCTCACACAATCTTACAGGTTAATCCTTGTTCACACTGGGTTTGACTCATATCAAACCTGGCATGCTGTGGCACCTGAAGGCTTCCCTGACAAGGGGCTCTAAAGAGATGGACTGCCACCGATCTCCTGGAAATGAGCCGGTTGCACCTAGCTGATAAAACCAGAGATTTACTGGAGCAGACAGGCCCCAGCTTAAACAGGCTTCTGTCTCTATTGAAACCCCTTCTGTCACTTGAATCAGTCATCTCTCCTGTCAGGCATCATCAGCTAAAACAATGGAGTGGTGTCTGAGTTTAGTTGAAGGGAAGGCCATGTCAGGGGACCGATAGGAATGTGCTCTTCGGATCAGAGGGGCAGGATCCACTTGCCTTTCCTTACCTGAATTCTGAGAAGGTGGTTGCTACTCCAGGTGCAGAATAAAGCCACAGGGAGACTTTAGAGCTCAAGTAATGCTAATGAATTAGGAAGGGGGGAAAAAAAATGGCTTCAGCCCTGATTCAGTACAAGAAGTGCTAGGTAATGGTTAAAATATATGTACCTCCTGTTGGGGGTTTCCACTTTCATTTGTCTTTAATATTTCTGTGTTACCTGGTGCCTGAGCTATATTGGTGGACAGAAATAAGCTCCCAAGGAAGAAAATGTAAGCTGAAACGCATTAAAAATTCCTTGGTTATGGCTTCTTCTTAAGGGAGCAATGGTAAATGAGGCGATTGAATTACTGAGTGTTTCCTGTGCATGGCTCAAGCCCTGGAGAACGAGTCTACGTAGGTTAGAATGGCCCCAAACTAGGAAGCAGATATTACGAACACAGTAGAGGATTGAAATCAGATGCCTAACAGACAAGAACTGAGTCCTTCACATCTCCACATGTCCCCAGAGCCCCCCGAGTCTTGTATGTCGTAGGCCCTCAATATACATTTTGCTGAAGGAATGAATATGTATGTATTCCTTTTTGACATTTATTTAATTTGCCTTTGCAGTGTTCTCTGGACTCAGGCTAGGTGTATTTCAAAACGGTAACTAAGAGTGATATATACGCTTAACTTTTCAGTAAAATTTATTATTGTGTTTTTCTTTTAGAAGAGAAGGTTGCAACTTTGTAAAAATGTACTGCAGTCGTATGTCGAAGTGAAGGGACTGTCACTGCATCTATCAGCCCAGGGCAGGGCTCTTTCCTCTGCGTGTGGGCGTGCACTGGCAATCAGTGTTCCTTCAGAGGTGTCCCCCGGCACCCCTATTACTCTCTTCTATTTCCTCTTATTTGATAAGATGGCTTATTTCTGAGTGTTCCTGAGCGGGTTCTCTGGTCCCCTTTCGTAAACTTACTGAGTGGGAGGTGTGCCTCAGTGCACACAGAGGGGGCACACGTGTGCTGCTGGACCAAGAGGTGTCCTCAAGAGGTTGATCAACTGTCCTGCTTGGCTAAAGACTTATCCTGGTGTTTGCACTGAAGGGTCCAGAACCTGAGACATCTCTTATTCCCAAGCAAAAAGAGACTGTTGAAAGCACTAGCCTAGGCACCTGAGACGTTATGTTTTTGACCTTAATGTTGTAGGTTTCAGGTGAATGCTGAATTTCTGGAAGTTATATGAGTTGGAAGATTGAGAAGGACTCTGATAGGTTTTATGATTTTGCTAATGATAATAATGGTATGTCAGATGACAGTTACATAGTTAAGAAATCACCCATCTGGTGGTCTTTAATACATTAATTTTCAATTGACACATACTAATTGTACAAATTAATGGGATTCAGTGTGATATTTCCATATTCACATGCACCGTGTGTTGATCATATCCAACCAAACTTCTTCCAGCCTTGCCTTTAGCACTCTTCCCATTCCCTAGAAATCACTATTCTATTTTAGGTTGGGTTTTTATTTCTCTTCATTTTTTAGTTTCCATATATTATTTTTGACATTTTTAGCAAGTATTTTATTTACTGTAATGTCTACCAGGTCCGTCCATTTTGTTACAAATGACAGAATTTCATTTTTCTTTATGGCTGAGTAATACTCCATTGTGTATATATATTTTCTTCATTCATTCATCTCTTGATGGGTAACCAGCTGATTCCATTCTTGGCTATTATAAATAGTGCTACAGCAAACATGGGCACATAAGAATCTCTTGTTCGCAGATTTCATTTTCTGTGGATTTATAGCCAAGAGTGGGTTAGATCTATGGTTATTCTGTATGTAGTTTTCTGAAAAACTTCCCTATTGTTCTCCATAATGGTCCATTCAGACTCACAAATCATACTTGGGACCAGTGTTCAAGATAAATGTGGCTTAGAAACCACAGTTTGACTAATGGTGGGATTCGTGGCTCCCTTCAGTGGGAAGACAGTTCAGCTCTGTGAAGGAATCAAGTTAAGCCTGAAGTCCCTGCTTCTAACCACTCAGCTGGGGCCACTGTGGTTAACTGTGATGAACAGGATCAATTGTGGTGTGCTCATTGTTTGTTTATTAATGTTTTCCACTTGAGCATACCATCCTTGTGGGTAAGAATCTGGCTGTATCTAGCCTTGTGGAATGGGTAGACTTTTAGCACTTGGGGGAACCGCCTAGGCATTGGCTACTGGAAGTTGGTACATAAGAGCCTCACAGTTGTAATGTGTTCCCCCCTCACTTTTCTTCCTCTCCATCTTCTTCTACCTACTATCACCTTTGGAGTTTACTCTGGCTCTCTCCCATGGTAGGTGGGTAGGAGGAAATGCACTCATTTCCATGGGGATGAAAAATCAATTCTTCTTAACTTGTTTGTGTGTCTGTGTTTGAAGGTTTGTGCATAGGTGAGGACACATATGGCCCTACTTATACTCATATGTCTTTTCATACAGATCTTAACACCCGAGCACTTGTCTATTTCTTCTATACCACCCAGATCTACTCAGAAAAATATATATATATATAACTAATTATCCCATGGCTTAAGTAACTCTTCCAGATGTTTGGAGAGAAGGCATGTATTAACATCCTAAAGTTATGACGCTTTAAAAGATAGCACTTTGATAATACATGTTTGGATTTCCAAGAATATAATTTTTTTGGAAGTTGGAAGCAGTATGGCGTATTAGGGAAACCGAGAGTGGTACAAATGTTAGCATTTCTGTGATCTCAGGTGGGCCAATTAAGCTTCATGAATTTTATTTTTCCTGAATAGGACGTTACATAATGCCTATTTTGTAGGGTTTTGTGAGGTTTTCTTAGAGACGTTGTATAAAGTGACAGTATCTGGCACATCACCATGGCTCTATAAATGACAGCTATTAAGAGTAAGAAAAATTAGTTCAGCTTATGAAAGTACTGCCTAGCAAAGAAGCAGGCTGCCTTGGGAGTGGGTAGGCTCCACATCATTGCAGGCATTGAAAACAAGGCTGGATCATTATCTTTCCGGGATACACTAGAGGGAATTTCTCTACAATGTAAAGATTCTCATTATTTAATAGGCCATATTAGTGGTTGAGAAATTCTCACCTAAACTTTTAATAAAATACTGAATCTAAAAGAACACTTTCCAATAGTTTTCATGGTAGATATGTGAAATCAGTGCACAAAGCTGAAAAGCATAGACAAGAATTTGTTCCCAGGCAGAAGGACCAAAAAAAAAAAAAAATGATGTTCCTTTAGAATAAAACTCAGTATCCCACTTATCAACCCTGTCATAGAAGGAATTGGGGAACCAAAGCGTAAGGAACCTGAATGTCTGTCCCATCTTGTCCTCATGGTACCTTGACTTTTGCAGCTCTAGTCCCAAGATTTTCTCTTCTGTCAGAGGGCTGGGGTTCCTGAAACTAACAGACTAGAAAGCACCTTGGGAAGTGTGGGGTAATTCTGAGAAAGATAAGACTGAAAAACTTGAAGAGCAAGGAAGAAATAGCCTCAGATGCTTGCATATGTTGAGAAATCTTTGCCTTTACTTTATTATGACAATTTTTTGAGGGAATTTCCCTCTTACAAGGTGTTCCAGATGAATCTACCTTTGATGACCTTTGGGTGTTTTCATATGACATGAAACAAAGTTAATGTTTCTCTGAAGTTAGTTTGAAGAACATAGTTTTGCTAAATTTTAGTGTTCCATGTCTCCTGGGCTATAAGCTAGGGGACTGTTGGCTAAATACAGAGGCAGTTTTCCCTTCGGTTTTGATACTGGTAAATGTGAATTTCTTATAAAAGATGATTCTTTAAAAATTGTTAAGGGACATAAGACCTCAAGTTACATATGGGAGAACTTTAAAAATCTGAAATATAATTAAATTTGAAGTATAAAATTGTTTTTTTTAAAATACATGCAAGCCAGTCATCGTGGGGTAGGCATATAATCCCAGTGGCTTGGGAGGTGGAAGAAGGAGGATCGCCAGTTCAAAACCAGACTTAGCAATTTAGCCAGGCCCTAAGTAACTCAGTGAGACCCTGTCTCTAAAGAAAATACAAAAAAGGGCTCGGGATGTGGCTCAGTGGTCAAGTGTTCCTTGGTTTAGTCCCTGGCATCAAATAAACAAATAAGTGAATGAATGAATGAATGAATAATACATCTGGATTCTTAGGTTTTAGGAAAACATTAGGGCATTTTGAGTTTGTTTGTTTTGCTGTTTGTCTCAGTCCAAAGTATTTGAAAACCATTT